ACTTACTGACGGGCAGCCAAAATTGATTTCCGATATGAGCTACGACTTACCTGAAATTAAAGGAGAATGATTTATGTTAGGTTAATATTTGTTAAGCTAAGTTTGAATACAAAAGCAGAAAGGCTTATAAAATGTATACAGAAGTAGCTTATATATCCTTTTTTCTTCCCTTTTCTACCATCATTTACTAGGGATACTGGACGCAAACAGTTGATTTCATTAACTGCTTACTTATTTATCCAAACTGCATCACGATCCCCACTTGGCATGCATGGCGACTCTATTCTGAGGGCGAGGAAGTGGGTGAGCAGCCGCAAGTTTACTGTAACATAACTGAAAGGCAAGCCGGGAATCGGGGGCAGCAAGGGCAGGGACTCGGACAGGATTATCGGGATAGTGGTTGAGGGAAAGGTCAACCGCAGGAGTTCAACCTGCTGCTTGTGGCGAACACAAATAAGCGGAGCGGCCGCAGAATGAGCATCAGGGCGGCAATTAAAAATCCCTCCTGGGGCAGGAGCGGCGTCAGCTAATGCCCTGCCTCATTGAGCCATTAATTTCCAGGTAAGGGCAAGATGTGCCATTCGGGGGAGTGGATTGGGCGGAGAGCTCACCTGCAACCTTTGCAATTTGTCCACATCGATTAGTGTCCGGCGCACATCGGCTCTGGCTGACAGAATGACAGCCATGTCCACGTCTATTATTTTCAACTTAACATGGTCCGCGCCTCCGACAATTGGCTAGGACATTTACCCCGGAGCCCGCCCCCTCCGCTCCCCTGCCCCTATGTCGGCGAAAGGGCGCCACAATGCGACTTGCTCGCCGCAAAGCTGCACAATAGCCGACCTACAACTCACTTCCTTCCGCCGCTGTGTGGCAACCACGCCCGTCCTTACACCCCCTTAAGGGCGAAGGTGCCACTTCCCACTCCCACACCTTCCCCGGGCCGGCAATATCTTTAATGTTTTTCCCTGCCCGGCCTTTTTTTCTGTCGCTGAAACGTGTGTCCAGCGGAAATGACAACGACAGTGGCAATTACATTGTTGCATGACACAAATAGTGTTGCTTGCAGCAACTACAACAAGAACCGCCAAGACATGGGGGCCAGCTAAGAATGGGATTACAGGACTTAAAGGGTGTTAAGGGAAAAGCCGAGGTAGGACGATTTTGTTTTACTTTAAAAGGTAAGTTCATTGGATTGGAATAAAGGTTTTCAAATAACTCCTTGCCAAGGAACTGGCTTGCAATACCCAACTTTATTTGAACAATATTATTTTGTTGAATTATCACAAGAACTTAAGATATTGTAGGAACATGGTAGGAACACCACATTGTAACATGTTATGTAGAATAAGTGTAAACAATCAATTACAAATAAGTAGATACATATATCGATAGTAAGCTAAGGAGATCGATATACTAATATCGGAGATCTGCGATCTCTACTTTACAAGGATCAACCCTATGAATCCATGTTTTGTATTTCCACACTCGATATTCAACTTTATACTTAATCGAAAATATCGCTTTTATTAACCTAAAAATTAAATTGATTTCTTTTATAAATTTCACAACGATTCTGCCAGTCCGAAGGTTGCCGAATGACCAGGATCTGTGAATATATTCTTCGCATTCATTTGATTGTGTGGCAGGCGCTGCGTGTTCAACTGCGGCGGGAGAGGTAAAAATTTAATTGATGTCATGTCGTAAAAAAGGTGGCATTTTTACTCGATTTAAGCGCGTAGCTGGACGCGTCGCGTTCATTCAATTGTTATCAATTGTCCTTCGCAAGCGTGCGGTTCTGTGTCCAGTGTCCTTTGTGCATGTTTATGGTCTGTCCACTGGCCGAACCCACTGGCCATTTACCCCGGGGGCCATCCTCAACTCTCATGTCCAGCGCCATGGCCGAGTGCCAAACTAATTGCTACAAATTAGCGCCTTTATGCTCGACGCAACTGCTGCTGTATCTGCAAAGACCACGACTGGTCGACTGCTGAGCACATCCTGACCCTTTGTTAGGGCTTGGTTTTGGGGAGGTCCTTCGGCCCCCATGTCCACCATGTCCCTGTGCGTGAGGAACTCAATTATGCCACAATACGCATTAATATAGAGGCTCAATTCGGCTCAATTGGGAATTGTGTGCGGCTTTTCGGAAACTAGCACACCGATATTTGTCGTTTGAAATTAAGAGTTTCAATTTTGGTTATTTAACGGAGGTATTAGAGATTGAAGTTTGAATTTTGTAAGATTGATTGTGAACTACTCCAGTGAATTAAGAAAAAAAAAACAGTAAAATTAACAGCAAAAAATTTAAGCTATTAACTTCAAAATGTAAAAGAAAGAAGAAATAGAAACTGATCCATTCATTTCTAAATATTAAATAGTTGTATTAGCAGAATTAGATAAGTAATCAGAGTGATCATTTCAAGATTATCAATATCGAACCGTCTGAAAGATTAAAAACTAAAAGTATGCTGCATAGTTTTTCGATTTCGATTCGTGATCAAAACTTGTACATAAACTAAAATTGTTAAGAAGAACACTCAGTTTTAAGGTGTTCTGCCAGATATTTTTCAGTTGCTGTATGCACCGAACTCAAGCTCTTACCAATTAATCAGAACTTTTGGCTATGCAAAAAATATATATTCAAAATATTTTCCGGAGGAGGAAGGGGACCAATCTGGCTGGCAGACAATTTGGGCCACTTAACACCTTGCTGAGTGCCTGCCGAAGCGCGACGATTCGTTTATTTTGAATTATTTTAATTTTAGCATTCTGCCGGATTTCTCGTTTGGCACTTGCTTTGAAAAAATATTAGACACATTTCATGCGCTTGTTTGCATTCGCCCCGACTACCATTTGTTCTATATACTTTTTGTCCTTCCGTATGTTTTTTTTTTTTTTTTTTTGGCCCGCCGAAGGAACGGACGACAATTTGTGTCGCTCGGTTGTCAGGACAACAACAACAACAGCCAAGCGTAATAATAAATGAGAAGTGGAAAAGTTTTGCCGCCGCCGTGCTTATTGTCAAGCTCGGCCAGGCCATAAAAAACAAACTTCAATAGCAATAAGGCGACAAAAAGAGAGCTCGAATAAAAGGACGAAAAAATAACTGCCGGACCAAAGGAGCAGCGGACAAAACAAAAACAGCAAGAGGAAAAGTTCAAGGCACTGACTTTATAGCTGCAATAATGCCCCGTCCTCAGGCGGGGGCGGAGGCAAGGCCTCCTGCTGCTCTGCGGGCTGAAAAGGTGAGCCACACGCCAACAACAGCGAGCCACAAAACAAAGCCAGTTGCAGCCAGCAGAGGGTGGGAGCAGGTAGTGGGGCGTGGGCGTGGCAGGAGGCAGGAAGCAACAAGGCCACGCCGTATCCCGCCGAATGTGTTGAGGCACTTTGGCGAGGTAACGAAATGTAACAAAGTGCTGGGGCGTGGCGGGCGCCTGGTTTTAGCAGCAGTCACCAGCAACCAGTTACCAGTAACCAGCACACCGATGGGGGCGGCGTCCGCCAGGGGTATTAGGTCAGGTTTGTTGTGCGGCTTACACCGGAAATTTGTGTTTAGAAGGCCGCTGGCGTTATTCTTGTTTGCTATTTTCGTGACCGCTGCAAGCGGAAGGTAAAAAGTTGCAAAGCTTAATTTTTTAACAAGATGCGGAAGATTTATCTTTCATCTCCATGTGGGCAAGTGCTGAAAATGAGTTCCGTACTTTGATGACACTAAATTGTGAGCAGAGGCAACAGCCTAAATTGGCTAAATAACTGATATTTCTGTTGCTGACTGGGGTAACTTCATAGGGTTATTTAACACCAAGAGAAGGCAAAACCTCTTTATACAATTTGAAGTAGTTTCTTCTTGACAATAATCTCCTTATTGAGAGGAGGTATGAGAAAGGTTAGTATATGTTAAGATTATTGGATTACTATTACCCCAAAAAGTTGTTTAAAGCATTTATACTCTATCACTGGTGTAAGTAATAGTACCCGCTGTGTGTCGATATCATTGATTGCGGCAATCGGCATTCGAATATCTATATATTCCAAGGAGCCCTGTTAATGACCAGGCCAATGACAAAAGGACAATGGCTGTCGTGGGCACGCAAGAGTCAAACGCACCGCGTTCCCACAGGACATGGCCGGACAGGTGAAGGTAAACACGGGCAAGCAAACATGACAGGGAAGCGGGTTGACACTCAGACTCTGAGTGACGGAATGACAGACTGATGGCCGGGCCCCGGGCACATTAATAAAGTCAATAGAGAGACAATAGTTGAAAATTAACAAATGAATCGAAATTACTTAAACAAACTCATTAGGCGCCAGCCTGTCCTAGTCCAGCAGCTCCGTTGACACCGTTGGAACGCCCCTGGGATCCGCGGACAAGCATTAATATTCCACCACAAATCCTCTGGGGGCGGCGTGGATCCCTGGCCCAGGTAAGCACTGGCCACCGCCTCCGCGATTGTCCATCGAATGCTCGCGAGCTTTCCCCGTTGCCGCGCTCTGCTCTTATTGCATGTAATTAAATTTTCCAACCTTAATGTGCTAAGCATAGCAATTTACTCTCACCGCCGTGCGGGAGCCCATCCCGTCGTCCCCCCTCCGTCTGCCTGCCAGTCACGAGTTTAAATTGTCAGAAACTGTGACAGGCCGACACCTTCGGCGCAGGTGTGGAGGCGGGCGAGGCGACAAGCCGCATATCTATAATTTTCATTAATTTTAATTGGCTGGGTGTGGGCGTGGTGAGAGTGGGCCGAGCGGCGACATTCGCTTGCAATATAATAAAATTTCATTGAATATTAAACTGGGAACCCACTTTTCCAATTGGGTTTGGGGATTACTGTTTTTCAGTTGGATTTTTTAATAATACCCAATATAAACCCACCTCATTTTGGAAGATTACTAGAAACTGGGGCATAATATGTTCATGGGGAAACTTTCAATATTCATATATAGCTCAACTGATTACAGGGAATTTTTCTTGTTATTGACAGGGAATCACAGTAGGTTTTCAGTAGCTGCCTTTCGAATGTCAGATGCCTTTTGTAAGCCGTTTGTTCAAAGTTCACTTTTAGTCCGGGGCATTCTTTTATAACTTTGGGTTGAATTTGCATAGAATGCAAAGGCCCGGCTAAATTCAAAATTTTCAGTGTTTGCCTGCTTTTGAAAGACTCAACCAACGCCCTAGGATGATGCTCAAGCTGTGGTCCGGCTCCGTGACTCATTCTGCGATCCGTCAATGCAAGGCGCGCCAGCTGCTGGCCCAAAGCCTATGCCACCTCGCCCAGCTGGGTAAGGAGCAGACCAATGTGCGCGGTAACCACAATCTTCCCTTGAAGATAGTACCCTCACGGCAGGATCAACTCAATGCCCTGAAGGGCGAGGAATTCGACGTCCTGGTGATCGGCGGCGGGGCCGTCGGTTGCGGTTGCGCTGTGGACTCTGCCTGCCGCGGACTAAAGACCGCCCTAGTCGAGGCCGACGACTTTGGCAGTGGAGCCAGTTCCCGCTCCAGCAAGCTGGTTGATGGCAGTGGCTCCTACCTGGGCACCGCCCTGAGGGACAAGGACTTCGAGCAGCTTTACATAATGCTGAGGATGATGAGCGAGCGAGCCACCATGCTCAAGATCGCTCCGCACCTGAATCGAGTGCAGCCGATGGTCATACCCATGTACAGTGTACTAGGCATGCCCTTTACCTGGTTGGCTCTCAAGGTGAGGCAGTGTTTTAGACTAAACTTACACAAAGAAACACATTTCTAGGTAAATTTGATTCGATAGTACGGTTCATTTAATGTTTGATGCAAATCATGATCGCGACTGCACCTTAAATGATCCATCTGCTAGTCCAATTTTGGCACACTCTTTCCAACATTTCGACCGGTATGAATGTTGTTGGGTATAGACATGAGCTTTAACATAACCTAAAGGCGTTAAATCGAACGATCTAGGCGTTATAATGCAATCATAATTAGATGAACATAATCACCAGTGAGAATTCAAATTTATGTTCCTTTTATATATGATTAGGGTACTGCGTATCTCACATTCACACTCGACTGCAACTTTCCCAGTATATAAGAGATAACCCTTAAGCTATTTAAAATATTGAATTTATGAACTTTTAAATTCCCCCTTTCCAGGTGTACGACTTTATATCGGCTGCGTCGAATGTGCGCGGCTCGCACTGCATCTCCAAGGAATCCATGCTCTATGAGTTCCCGCTGCTGAAGACGAAGGGATTGCGCGGCGGAATTGTCTACTACGATGTCCAGTTGGATGACGCCCGGATGTGCATGGCATTAGTTATGACTGCCGTCGCCCTGGGCGCCAGTGTGGGGAACCATCTGAAGCTGGTGGAGATGCTGCCTCAGGGGGGCTGCTGTCGCGTGGTGGGCGTCAATGATTCGCTCACCGGCGAGACGTTCTACATCCAGGCCAAAGCAGTGATCAACGCCACTGGTGCCGGCACGGATGCCGTCCGACAGCTGGACGAGGAGGGCACTCCCCCGATCCTTGTGCCCACGGTGGACACCTACGTCTCCGTGCCGCGGTACTTCGGCTCTGGCCGCTACGGCCTTCTGAGCCCGTCGCAGAAAAAGGGTGATCCCACGGTGGTGATGGTGCCCTTCGAGAACCACATAGTGCTGGGCGTCCACGAAGAGGATGGCGGGTCCATCTCTCAAAGCCCTGCCGCCGACCCAGAAGACGTTAGTTCTCTGCTGGACGCTGCCAAGGAGAAGATGGAGCCCTGTGTGGAGCTGGGACCATGCCACGTGCTCAGTGCCTGGACGGGCCTGCGGCCCAAGGTCGGCTGTCCCAGGGATAAGAAAGAGGATAAGGAGGATGATGATAAGCTACCTCCCCCGGTCAGCAGCTACATGATCGAGGTGAGCCAGAATGGACTAATCACGCTGGGCGGGGGGCGCTTTAGCAGCTACCGCGTGATGGCCGCCGAGGCCGTCGACCTGGCCATCCAGACGTGCGGACTGTGCGACGACCATGTCACCTCCAGCTGGACCGAGCACCTGCCGTTAGACGGGGCCCAGAACTGGTGCTGCATGCTGCCTCTGGAGTTCGTGCAGGACTACGACGTGCCCATGGACGTGGCGCAGCACATATCCGACTCGTATGGCTACAACGGGCATGCCCTGCTCAACCAGGGTCAAGATATGCTGAAACGTCTTCATCCGAACTTTCCATACATCGAGGCTGAGGTGAAGTACGCGGTGCGCAGTGAGTACGCCTGTTCCCTGGTTGACGTCGTCGCTAGGCGCCTGCGCGTCGCCTTCGTGGACGCGGTCGCCACGCTGCACATGATGCCTAAGGTCCTCAAGATCATGGCCGCGGAGATCGGCTGGGACGAGGGGGAGCAGAAGAAGCAGATGGCGGCGGCCCAGGAGTTCCTGGTGCGCCAGATGGGCCTCGGCGGCATCGTTCGCCCGAAGATGCTAGGCAAAAGCCAACCGAAGACGAAGGCTTCTTCGCAGGGCTGCTGCCGGGCGGCCGCTCGCAAAGAGGCCAGGAGCTACTCCAGAGCCTTCGCCCCGGTCACTGCGATCCACGAGGAGCCCCTAGTCCCCTCCAGGACAGGTCGTAGCTCAAATGAGAGCGCAAAGATGTCCAAGATTTCCGGGGTCTTCACCACAGGGATCACTCAGCGGTCGGTGGTGGACAGTCCCCTGACTGCCTCCGGCAACCAGCCGAGGTTCATTCCCAGCGACTGGTCTGACGAAAAGCGCCACCTAATCCAGACCGTGTGGCGCAACAAGTTCATGTGCTGACACCATTACACACCTGAGTATTCCCAGGAGGTCGACTAAGCCTGAGATTCATCCGAGAAATTAGGTTTCAAGAGAATGGATGCTTCTTTGTAATTCTATAAAAACTCGTTAAAGCAAACTTGTCGCTAGAGCCCAATCCCAGGCTCTGGAAGTGCTCGATCGACTACACTTGGAAAAAGTCTTTGAAGAGGGTTGAATGAATTACTAATGGAACAAGCTACTTTGTAATATGAAGCCGGCTAAAAAATAGACTGAATATTAGTAAAATTAAAAATGTATTTAATTATTCACTTCAGTAATGCCTGCAGCTTTAAAAATAGAAGTCTGATTGCTGATTTAAAGATTTGCTTTCTTGGTACATTGTAACACTACGAGTTTAAAACTTATAATTAGTTAACTTTAACTTAAAGTTTTCTGAGATATTACTGGAATAATTGTACCCTACAAAAACAAAATTTTTGTTTTTGAATACACTTCTGGCAGTCTAGTATTACGATTTCCACCGTAGCCGCTTTCAAGTGTACCAGTTTAAGCTGTGTTTAGCTGTGCACTTTCCTTATATTCCCAGAATAGTTTGTAAATAAAATTGGAGTCAACCCAAATGCCGCCACTTGAACTTTCGCTAGATCCTAAATGATGAGGTCTTTAATTTCAATTGCACAGACATTTTAAATTCAACATTTTCAAGCAAAACATTTTATTTAGGCGCGTGTTTGGGTTCCTTGATTTCCTAATTTAATAAAACAAATGCTGTTCGATTTTCCATTTGGTAACAGGCGGCGGTCGCTAACGGTCTTGGGGACTCTTCGACTTTTTCTTTCGTTACTTTGGCAATTTGGAGTCGCTGGTGTTGTCGTTTGTTTTTAATAAATTAGCCACACTTGAGTGGGAGTGGGAAAACTCGAGGGAACCGTGGGGTGGGTGACCCATTTTGAATTATTGTTATTGGGCTGGGAAATCATTTCTCGTTGTTTGCTACACTTTGAATGTGCTTATCGCTCATATATTGCTTTATTTATTGGCTGATTGGGTCGGAAAGTGTGTGCATGAGGGTGGTATTTATATAAACACCATATTTTCCTGCCGCCGCTCGTTAGCGACACAAATGACCTTTTTATGGCCACATTTTTGAACTGCCGCGAAATTTAATTTAAATTTCACCTCACCAATATGGTTTTGAGAGAATTAATTTATCATAAAATTAAAGAAACCACACTCAAAAGGATTTTATTCTGAATTCCTCTCTGTGAAATATGTTATTAATAAACTGAATTTATTGAATTTGTAGTTCATCTTGTAGGCCCAAAGAAAAATCAAGTAATTGTCTTAAAAATGACATATTTTCTTGAAAGAACCTCGTTGTTCTTGCACTTCATTTGCCTGCTAGTTGAGTCACGCGCAAAATTTCGCAGTGGTAAAAATAAAACTATTCAACTAACCGAACGCAGAACACTTTCGCTTTCCACAACGCTTAACTATGAAAGCCCCACTGCGGTCTTTCGGGCTGCATTTTATGCTGATTAGTTGAGTTAACAATTTGCAGCACGCGAAACTATTTCGGGAATTTCAAACTTGAAACATAAATCGCAGTGCCCTGCCGAGGGTCGGGCCAGCACTCCACTGCCACTACGGAGCCGAAGAATTTTAATAAGCTTGGGCCAGCCGTCGAAGGAAGTAAGTAATATGGAAAAATGCAGGCGATGCACACGCGAGCTCATAATAATAAGAATTCGCACCAGCGAGGAACGCCTCAGGCACAAGGGTCCCTGCGGTGCGGCCCCTTTACAAGGCAGTCAAGGACACCTAGCTGGCCATTTAGCAAGGAAAAAAATCAGAGTACCACCTTAAATAGCTATGAAATATCCTAAATAGGAAGCCCAAGAAAACGTATGACGGAAGCATTGCCATTAAATGCCGAAAATATTGCCAGGCGACAAACGGAAATAGCAGGAAAATAGTGTGCCATAAAAATGGCTTTAGTACTTCCACAGAACAGGGAAAAAAGCTGTGAAAAAGAAATCTAGAGCAACGGAAGATTTTATGTCATGAAAATTCGAGAAGAATGCAAAAGTCGTGTAAAGCTATTACATTTTAAAAACTACTTTTAAATTGTTTCAGCTGCATTAAGCTTTCATTATGAACTTTATTTTGTAGTTTTAAGAGGATCTTAAGGTAAACTTCTTACTTGCACTTTTCATTATACAGTGAGTCACAAAAGTATTCGTTGCAAGGTTCCCGACGAATAATTATGTTATTTTTTTAATGATTAAGTATTGATAACTTTAGTTTTTATTTTATGTTGCTCAGATATTAAACAATAGGAAAACAACAAAAAGTTGTTAAAAAACTAGCTTCATTGCTGTTTTTTTCTAAGAAATTCATTTGAACTACAAAATTTCATGTCACAAAAGTATTCGTTTTTTTGTTTCGCCATTAAATATTTATTATTTTTTTATTGTGTTATATCTTATGTGCAATCCTTTGCTTTATTTAATAGCTTATAATCGTCCTTGCATTGGCTTTACCCATTTTGGGCACCTCTTTCAGGATATATTCGACCATTTCTTCCACATTATATCTTTAAGTTCCTTTTTCGGCAAAAATCCGCTGTTCCTGGAATTTTAGCTTAAGATGGTGTCATAGATTTTCAGTAGGGCTAACGTCTGGGCTCTGTGAAGGAGTTTTAGTCTGGTTTCAATAGTACAACACCCACATCTTGATTTTAAAAGTCGTTTGTTCGGCGCTATTGTACTGGTGGAAATTGAACTTGTCGGGTTCTGGACACATTAGGGTGCCACTAGAGAGTAAAATACACCTTAATATATTTAAATATATATCAGCAATTATTATTCCTGTCTAAAAAAAACATATTTCCAACTCCTGGGGCGGACAGACACCCTAAACTAGAACAGAAACTCTGACGTGCTTTACTGTTGCTGTATCATTTTTTAACTTGAGGGCTTTTCCGGCCTTCGGCAAACTATCCATTCTCAATCCGATCCCTAAACATTGAAAACCTTTTTTACTTAATATTACTTGCCCTGAATACTCTCAAATTTGGTTCAAATACGCTATATCAAAGAAAATAGCTTCGGCATATTGATAGGTGAAAACAAGGATTTTATTTTAGGGCTTCTACCATCCTCATCATGGCTTCTAGGAACTGTTCCGATAGTTTAAGTGGATACATTTGTTCCTTAGGATGTGGTCATGGCGGTGTTAATTTTTGCAGCCTATAAATGTATGCCTTTCCTGTTTTTTTTTAAGAATTGTTCTATCTTCTCTGATTTTCAATTACTATATTCGGCCAAAACGCGGCTTATTTTCCAGGAAATTTCTTGATTTCAGTAGAAAAACCACGCTTATTATGGTAAGAGGACTATTATCAAACATACCAGAAATATATTTTAAGGATCAACCCTCATTGTGTAGGTGTAAAGTAATTTTCTTCTGGAAAATGTTTTGACTCCGTACTATTCGGCATTTTGTAATTGATTACGACCCACAATGACGCTTAAATGTTGTGTTTTTCCATGAATTAAATTTTAAAATGTATTCCCAACCAGAATACTGAAAAAAATTGCACTAACCCATGAAAAAAAGAAAAAATAATTTAAAAAAAATCTCAGAAACGAATACTTTTGTGAGCATAAAAATCGATTTAGTTTTATATATTTGTCTGTAGCTTGTTTTTGAAAAAGTTTTCTCTAAGTTTTTTTTTGTCATATGCTAAACAAAATATACATCTTTGGGATAGTAATCCATTTTTTCACATTTAGAAGCTTTTAGCTAGTGAAAGTTGACATTTTCCTCAAGACCTCCTTTGCAACGAATACTTTTGTGACTCACTGTAAGTTGATTTTGATTAATACAAGTTTATCTGTAGCCTAAGAGAAAATACTTAAAATAACTTTTGGTTCATATATATTTCAATATATTTCTCACTATTTATTGCAGTTTTCGAACCCAGAAAGGCGCTATTTTCATAGCGAGATAGTAAGTTTTAACCGAACCATGAATAAAATCATAATATATCTCAGCACACACTGGGCTATCTGGGACCCGGCTTGAGTCGCAATCGGAAGGACGGCGGCAGGGGAATGGCACTCAACTGCAAGACATTGGACCAAACGATAAGTGACAAACATGGTAAGGCAAACAAATGTATATTTTATACATGTGCCCGGCAGGGGGACGGAGACGGAGGCGGAGGCGGAGATGGGGCGGAAAAGCGGGCCAGAGATGCACAACTGTCAGATAAGTGTGGAGAGCATTTTGCAGAGCGTCTTTTGCCCGCAGGTGACATGTTAAACGTCTTGTAAGCATTTGCATTTCCTCGCTCATAAAATAGACGCAATAAGGAGGAAATAGGAAGAGTCTCTCCGCCCCGGCACTACTCGGATGGGGCGGGGAAATTTGCCGTAAAATATATATATGTGTGTGGAAATAACTGAACAGGCATGACATGGCAGGGGCCAACATCTTTTATCTGCAGTTCATTCATTCTTGTTGGCAGCGACTTCAAAAGGGTTGAGTTGTTGGCTTTGGCTTAAAGCATATTTGATTATGTCACAAAATATCCCGGAGCATACATACAACGCCGCTTGTGCCTGTCTCTCTGCCTCGGCGTTTGCTTAGCCAAAGATAAATTTAACAAATATGCAAATAAAACACGCCCCATTCTCCCCTCCTAGCGGCTGGAATAAATGGAAAATTGTTTTTCATAAACTTTTTAAATATGCACAATTTAGCCTTTCCCTTCCATTTGGCTACGAACAACCTTTCAGAAAGGCTTTAACAATAGCAATTATTTTCTATTTTGAAATTGCATTTAATGGCGAAGGTAAACAGGCGTTCTTCTTCAAGTTCGTGAAAGGACACATAATGGAACAAGTGCCCCAGCTAGGACTGTAATGCTTCGGACAAGTAGAAAATAAATTTTATAGTTGCATGCTTGAAACTAAACAAAATCAATAAGAAAAGCTTTTAGGTTTTCCTTTGACAGAAGCAAATAAAATATACATTTACAGAAACTTGAATCCTGTTAAAAGTTTGAATTTTAAGTCAATGAATATTTGAAAGGTAAACTCTGTTTTTGATTTACTATGTTGTTGCAAAGAGCATTTTTTCCTAGCTAAGATATCCCGAAATATATAAACTATACGAGCCACAAGTATTCTATATATATATATATATATATATATATATATATTCTTGAAAATATTTCACTAAATTAAACCCCTGTCGCCCCCTTAACAGCTATCCTTGGAGTGACTACTGTCAATCCACCAGTCAATCAATCAAACTAAGAAGACCACTAAGAGCGGCTCATTAAATTATC